AGGAAGATCAGTGCAAGAACGTAAATACTGCAATTAAAATATGAAACATTTTCAAGTGAAGCAATCATATTACTCAACTTCATACAACATAATTTATAATAACTAATGGAGTACAAAAAGCTATTGAAGCAATTTTAGACTAAATTAAAATATACTTTATCAAATAAAATATATTCTTGTTCTAATCAAACTATTTATACACAAAAAAAAAAAATTTAAAATTTGTCAAAAATTGAGGGGGGTCTAGGACCCCCCCACCTCCGCCCCTGCTCGAGGCTGCGTCCCCTCACTAGGTGTTGGCTCCACCACTGCATACACTTTCCTGAAATACTCATTGAATTCGAATCTAGTTCTTAAAGACTTGATTTTAAGACAAACAATAAGCGATGAAACTTTAAAAAGACAAAAAGATTACCTCTTAAGAGGTTATATGTAAGTGTTTTCTAAAAGGGAACTACAAGACAATTCAAAGTGAAGTAAAACATTCAAACATAAGATTTTACAAATATATGTCTACGAGTTCCACGCAAAATTATTTTGTACTATTATGATCCTATATTATTTATATAGCTCATATTTTCTCAATTTGGGATTAGACGGATTATTAATGCAACTAAATACATAATCACAACTTCGTTGTAAGTAATTTTGATCTTTAGTGGCATCTATGTTTCTAAATTTCAAGCATATGTATCATTTAATTGTAAATCATTTTTCACTGAATTTAACCAAAATCAGTCAGAATAATCCAACCATTCAGTCAGAATTTTTAGCTTCCATTTTATTACAATAATTGAATTTTTTTCTTGTTTCCCCATCTTCAAATTTTTTTTTTTTTTTTTTGCGTGACCCCACCCGTGGTTCGATTAATGACGATAGTTTCACCTATAGCTCGAGAAAGTTGAAATCATTCTTCAAGAAAGCTAGAACAAATTTTCAAGACATTTACAACTATCTAGAGTATCAAGTATTTTGCAAATGAATCTTTCTTGAAAGCTTTTAAAATTTGCATTAAAAATTATGAAGCCACCAAATAAAATTTAAAACTTTTGTGAACAAAAAGAGGTTTAATTGTCATTTCAAGTGTAAATGTGGCTATTTTCCTAACTTTCCAAAAAAGTAACCATTTTTGTTCTCTCACTCAAATCTCTTTATTTAAATATAGGGTAATTGGCACAAAATAATCCTATTTTTTAATCCAGCAAAATGGTAACTCGTTTAAACAGATCAATTTTAAAATTCATGTCCTCATTTAAGTTTTAATTGGATCAAATTATCCCTTGAAACGTAATGAACTTTGATATCATGGAGACTTGGAGTTCCATATTAATAGGTCAATTATGTTAAGATGAATAATTCAAACTCTTGTATGTAAGAGGAGGCAAACAATGTTCTATAGTACAAATTTATTTGAATTGTCTAGATTGATGGTTAAAATTTTTTATTTTAAAGTATATCAATCTACGACATTTCGTGAGAAACTATAACTCCCTTTATCTATTCATCAATGTATTTGTTATCATCTGATTGTTTAATATAAAGACAAAGAATTCCTTCTAGAAATATGTTTTTTTTACGTGGGAGATGACAAATGGCGTGCAAGGATAAGGACGTGGATTTTTTCGAAGGACTCGAGATATATAGATTTATGATATTCCACTACCGAAAATATTTTAGTCGTTACAATTTGAATTGTCCACTACATCTCTACAATTTTTTCCTATAATTATGAAAATTACTAATTTATTTATTATCATTTACATACAAATAGATTTGAAAAACTATCTATCGCTCATTTCTCTAATCCTAGAATTATTTTGATCATCTTTATCCTCAAATAATGCCCCTATCTCCTCTAAGCTCTTGCCTTTAGTTTCAGGCAAGAAAAGATAAAAGAAAATTGTGGCCAAAACCATAATTCCAGCAAGTACAAAAAACATACCCCCAAAACTAATCTTTCTTGACATACTAAGAAATGTCATTGACACTACCCCACTAACCAATCTGTTCACTGATACTGCCAAGCTTGTGCCTTGGGCCCTTAGTCTTGTTGGAAAAATCTCTGATGAGTACACCCATGTAATAGGCCCAAGCCCAATTGAAAAGAAGGACACGTCAGCACACACTGCTATTACACACAGTGCAATGGCCCATATGGGTTTGTGGGTTGCGTGCTCAAGAAACTTTGAGCCCAGTCCAAGCCCAGCAAGAGAAATGGTCATTCCTATTGAACCCAATAACAATAAAGGCCTTCTTCCGAATTGGTCCAAGAAAAGTGCTGACACAAAAACAAAAGATGTTTTTGCTATTCCCATGATCACTGTCACACCTACTAGGCCTTTCCGGTTGCGGATTCCGGCAGCCCTGAAGACCTCCGGGGTGTAGTACACCACCGCATCGTTCCCGGATGCTTGCATGAAGAAGTTGATCCCGATTGCAGCGAGTAGAATCCTTCGAAGGGGTTTAGAAGGCATTAGAAGTTCTTTCCAAACTCCTCGTCCATCCAAATTTGCATTGCTTGATCCCGGGCTTGAATTTGGGCTCGTAGTAACAACTGATGAGGCTTTTGTTATTTCTTGGAGTCGTAAATCGGCTTCTTCTTCGTTCTGAGAGGTTTTTCTTAACACCCTTCTGGCTTCGTCCAATTTGCCTTTCATTACAAGCCACCGGGGAGATTCCGGCATTGTTAACACTCCGAGGGCAATGGAGACGGCTGGAACCGCCGCAATTCCAAGCATTAGCCGCCAGTTGATGTGAGGTGGAAGACTTGACAGTGCATAATTGAAGATATAACCTAAAAGAATACCAAAAGTGATGAATACTTCAGGGAAAGATGTGAGAAAACCCCGTGTCATCGCCGGTGATAGCTCGGCTGTGTAAACCGGAGCAACCATGAGTGCGTATCCAACGCCAATACCGGCAACAACCCGTCCTGCCATTAGGAATGGGAATGACGGTGCAAGCCCCATTAACAGTGCACCGATGAAGAATGTCGCCGCCGCCAAGATTATGGTGTATCGCCGCCCAATCAAATCGGATGTTTTGCCGGCCGCCAATGATCCGATTAGCGAGAACACATTCAGTGCACCCACCAAAACCTCCTCCTGAACCGACGAGATCTTGAAAACGTCTTTAATGTACAGCACAGCTCCACTCATCACCCCAATATCTATAAAATCAATGCACATAAATCTGAATTATGGGATCACCATTTTTTATCCAAAAAATAAAAAGGCTGAAATTGGGTAAAATGTTTGAACTCACCATAACCTAAGAGAATTGAATTGGTGGAAGCCAAAATTGCACAAGCCAGTGCATACTTGTTGAGTCGAGGCCGGCTGGCAGAAGACTTCATTGAAGGGGCTGTAAGTGTATCCTCCATATCTGAGAAATCTGAGAACCGAATTCTAAGGGAAAACCAGAATATCCAGTAGAATACTGTAATTAGAATATATGATTATAGAGATTTGAGGATGTAACTGAAACAGATCAGCAGATTTACATGGAAATAAATACTGGAAGTATAGATTGTCACGTTTATTTTAGGGATTAGGTGGATTTTATTTATTCAATAAATATAATCCAGTACATTCATAGGCCTTGTTTGGCATGCTTCTGATTTTACTTATTTTTCTTGTCAATTATTATGTTTAATACATGAGTGGTGCTATGTGTACACACAATTTTTTACACAATGTTTTACACNGTGTACACACAATTTTTTACACAATATTTTACACATTGGCCAAACAATTAATCTTGGAAGTGAATGCGCCTTGACACAATATTCCTGCAACAATTATCAAATAGTGAATGCACGTACATGCAAATACTTTGTGCACACGGTTCTTGGGGAGCTAAGGTCCAAAAATTATTTTCACGACTCTTATCACTCACTCAATTCTATTTTATCATATATATTGAGCAACAAGAGTCGGAAGTGAATTCGACAATTTAAGCCTTTGTTTGGTAGCCATTGTCATTTATTTTGTAGATGAATTCTAACCATTAGGTGTCCTTTTTCACAGTTGCATTTATTGCTAATTCACGTGAAATTACATTTGCGCCCATTTACATTTACTTCATTGTATGTTGAGAGTGTCATTTTGGAGAATTCATATGCTGCGGAGTCAAAAAAAAAGGGCTACAACGACCCACTTTACTGTTCCAATAGTCAAAAAATGCTAAAAATGCCAGGAAAATGTCTACCAACCAGAGGCTAAGGGTTTGTTTGTCATGATTTTTGTTTTTACTTTTACTTCCTATAAAAGAAGTTTTGGATAAAACAATTTTATTTTTAAAATCACTTCTTATTCCGTAAGTGAAAGTTACATTAGACTAATTTCCTTTAAAAACTCTTCTAACTACTAGAAACACATTCATAAAATTAATTAAACGAGTTCAAAAGTAACTTTTTGGGAATGGGCTCTAACCCCACAATGGCCTAATACTTCAAAACTTGTAGGTATGAAAATTGAATCCCATTCTTCAAATCCTTTGATTTTTTGTTTTTCTTTTTCATCCACAATTAGACGGTGGTATGTATTTGTGGAGTACCGTTTGGATAAACACCATCTGGGCTTGTCGTTTCGGCTGCTTTATACTTTGTCTGTTACAGGTTTTATCTACTATTATTAAATTATTATTTTTTTTTGGGGGAAATTTACAAAATATATCCTCCGTTATTGATTTTTTTGATTCATTGAATACTATTGATTTAGTATTTTTATTTATTTTTATAATATTGATATAGTCAAACAAACTATTTTCTATATTTTTCAATATTTATCAACTTATTAAAACATAATTTTTATTGATTTGTTGTTATAGTTTAGGAAAAGAATATAAATTCTATAAATTACATACAAGAAATCACCCTTTAAAGAAATGATGTTTAATGAAAATTCAGTAGTTAGAAAATATTATGCAAAACGTTACATAAAGTAAAATATAGGGTGCGATTTATTATTTCAATAAGATGTAATTTTGTATATCCAACTATTTATAATCTCAAATCTGTAATTTTTTAATAAGCAGTACTTCTTGTAATCATTGTGCAAAATGTAGTATGTAAATGTGAATTAATTTAACATAAGCATAGACTATATATAGTGGGTGTTTGCCTTTTTAAAAAATAAAAAAATAAAATCCTTTTTCAATATTAAAACAATTGAACTTATTTAGCCTACGTTTGAGCCTCAATTTTTTTTTTTTACTGAAAATAAATTTTGTAATAGTAAATTTTTGTAGAATGTATGAGTAAAAAATAAGAATTTTTTTTGTGTTTACGTATAAAATATTTTATTAGGAGAATGTTATTAAAAATGAGTTTGCGAAATTTTTTTTTTTAGATAATGAAACTCAAACAAGGGATTAGAATAATTAAGCTTTCATTGTATTTCGCTAAAAAAGAAATTGTTGTACACCAATTCTTGTTATTAATTAGTCTAGGTTAGTCCAACTATACTGCCAATTAGAGTTAATACCCTAAATTGTCACCGAACTTTGTCAAAAGTTCATAAGAGGTCACCGAACTTCAAAACTTCTCTAATTAGTCACTGAACTTTGCTAAAACTTCCTAAGAGGTTATTGAACTTTGCAAATTGTAACCTCATACATTAATGATTTAGTGACCCCCTAGAAATTTTTTGCAAAGGTGAGTGACTAATTATGACAATTTTGGAAAAGTTCAGTGACTATTTAGGGTAGTTTCGAAGTTCAGTGACCTCTTAGAAACTTTTTGCGAAGTTTAGTGACTAATTAGGGAAGTTTTGAAATTTAGTAACCTCATGCGAACTTTTAGCAAAGTTTAGTGACCATTTAGACTATTAACCCTGCCAATTACACTCTTCCGACCAAGATTTAGCCCAACAGCCCCTCCCCAACCCTAAAACTCTGTGAATATTTTGTTTTTGTTTTTGTGTTTTTTTTTTAAATAGTGTTCTTTTTAGGGTTAATTTCACAAACGGTCACTGAAGTTACACGAAAATAACAAAATTGTCACTAAAGTTTAAAACTTGTAGAAATTGTCACTAAAGTTTCACGCGGTTTCAAAAACAGTCACTGAACTTAGTTTTAGTACTATTATGTTTTAATTCAAACCTAAAGCACCAAAACACTTGGACATAGAAGCTGGAGGACCTCAAGTGCAAAATTCAACTTAAAATCTCCCCAACCCCAAACTATATCATTGAGTTATATATTTGACGTGATAATTGCAATTGATTCAAACATTATCAGAGGTACAATATTTTGAACTTCACATATACTATTATTCGAAAATAAATCTATGATCTTGAATCATTATCCGTGGATACTTCGTGTTATTATTGTTGAATGATAATTGTAATTTCAACACGAGGACAAAGGCGAAATTTTGGTAAATCTTGAGTTCCTGATATGCCTTTCAAGGGTGGGCACACAAAAGAAATCCATGGCACAACAAGAGGATGGAGGGATAGGGATAGGGATTGGAATATTCTCTCCCAAAGTTGCTTATTTCATTTAAGTAATTCTAGACTTGCCTTGGTTTTCACTACCAATTTTAGCCCAAATCTTCGTAAGCTTTAGATGGGGCACTTTCAATAACTCGAAGTTTTTATTTTTACGGCTAATTCAGCAGAAATTTTATTAGATTCATCATTTTGTACATATTCATAATCAATAGAATTGTATTAGAGCATTTTCAACATAATCTTTATTTTTACAAAGCACATTCTACAATTTAGAGATCATATGATTCATATATAAATTTAAAGTGTAAAAATTTTTAAGAACTCCAACAGACTCTTTATATTTAACACTTAATTTTACTATTCTAAAAAAATATTTGTTGTTTTTCCCTAACTTTTATATTCACTAGCTTCCCCCCAAATTATTATATTATTTTTCTTCAATGAAAATTGAAATATTTTGAATGCATTTAATTTGAAGAGTCAAACAACCCACTTTCTAAATTAAAACGTTAATTTAAAGAGCCTCTTAGATCACAAATTTAAGGGTTGGCTTTTTAAAATATAGAACATTTTATATTTAAAGATTTTTCTTGGAGATACTCTTATCGAATAATTGGAACATACCGAAAATAGATAACCACCATGGCAAGTCGTCAAACATCTACAACTTCACCTGAAGCGACATCCCCATTTAGCGGAGGAAAGAACCCCCTTCCATCACCTTGCATAAGATTAGAGAAGTCCATTCTAGAGGTGACCTTAAAATTTTCGTGGTGATTAGGATCAGCATTGGCCACATTGTCTCCTTCCACAGGGTGTGCACAATTCTTGGGGACTTATGGCCAAAGGTTCGTCAAAAAGAAGTAAAAAGCATGGCGCAGTGATGCGCTTTGTCGCCCCTCCGGAGTTCTTGTCTGCACGTCTTAAAGGGAGGTCTATAAGGAGGAGAACTGTTTTTCAAATGTCCGATCCAAGTGCGTATAAACTGAGACTGCATCCGAATTTACCCAGATGGCAAACCAAGGGGGAAGGCCACCTCTCCTAAAGATTAGTCAGGCGAATCTCGAACATCTAAGCCACCCAAAAAAAAAAGAAGTGAAGGGCAAGCGCGGGATTTATCAAAGTGGCTCCTTGCAAGACTGGAGTTTCCAAGGGTTTACTCATATGCATTGAGAAAAGTATTTCAGCCTAATAAAAATTAAAACACGGAGAGAAAAAAAAAAAAAAAAAACTTAAATGTGCTTCTTTTGTACTATTGTTATAGGGTTTGTTATTATAAAAAAGATTAGATGTGTAAAACAAGTGCTAGCTGTGATTGTAGAAGTGCAAACTATGTGCTTCCTTTGTGCAATCGAAAGATCAAAGACGATGAAAGGCTATATACTACATATGCCTAAGGCATGCTTAAGTAGTTGAAATTGTTTTTAAGAAATGAACATTACAAACTAAAAGAAAATATTCTTAAGCTTTTTACTAAACAAATAAGCACGATATTTTTGGTCAATTGAATAAATGTGTGAAATAATAATAATAATAATAATAATAATAATAATAATAATAATAATAATAATAATAATAACAACAACAACAACAATTTGTGACACAGGATTGCATGCCTGTTAATATTTTGAGTTTCTTTTATTGTATTTTTCCTTTTCAATATTTTACATTTGGAAGAATATATCGTATCTTACATGGTTTTTAATTAGGTGAAACACATCGTAAGCTTAGTTTGTAAATGTATATACAAAGCATTTTCTAACATTTCATAGATTTTACATAGATTGGAACAAGAAATTATATGATCATCTACAATTTTTTGATTGATGAGAAAGACGGAAAAAAAGAAGTTACAAATGCGAAAGCCTACCTATAGATGATTTGGAGGTGGTACAATAGCTGCACGCGTGATTAGTGGGATGGACAC